TGAAACAACTCCCCCCATGGCAATTATTCGCTCGATGGCCAGATTGACCACAATTATAGCACAGTTTATTGTTCGTAAAGAACTTCCGGCGACTATCTAAATCCTTAATATCTTCACAACTGTCCGAGTAATGCTCACCTTTGCAAAAGACACATTTGGGGCTCTTCGGTTTTCCTCCACTCGCCTTTCCAGCAAACCAGTTCCGTTCTCTTCTCGACGACTCTTCGCTATGCTTCGAATCGTTCGTCGTTTTATTTCTAAGTAACCACTTCTGCAGGTTATCCAGTAAATCCTTCAAGCTCCAGTCCTCCCATTTGTCGTCAGTTCGTACCAGGTCTGGTTTAATATGTGGAAGTTTGTTCAATGTCGTCATCACAAAAGCTTTGAGAGGCCCATCCTCTCCCAAAGTATGCAGAGCGTCGAAACTCTTACTCAACCTTTCGTAGAATTCTTGGATTTTCGTATAGTTAGAACCTTTGACTACAGGTAACCCAATAATTTCCTCCATATGTGCATTTACAACTTGTTTGGTCTGTCCGTATTCTGCTTTGAGCCTTTTCCACGCTGTTTCATATCCCTTGGTACTTGGTTTAAGATTTGCCAACCGGTCTCTGACCTTGGGGTTGACCAGTTCGAGCAAATAGCCGAATTTCTTTTCGTTCGAAATAGGTTTCTTGTCAATTTGGGTCAAGAAAATATTCTCGAAACGAATCCAATCTACAACAGTTCCCTTGAAAGGGGTTATCTTCAATTTTGGCAATTTGGCACTAGTAGACTTTGCTTCCCTTTCTAGCTCCATACGTTTCTCAGTAATTTCCAACTCGGCTTGCAGTTTTTGTTCCCATAATTTTCGTTCACGTTCGTGTCTCTCAACGATTGCTGCCTCCTCTAGTTGTTGTTTAGCTTCCCACTTTCGCCGTTCAGATTCTTCTTGGGTTCGTCGCTCCCTTGACTCTAAAAAGTCAGAAAGTTTCTCCTTGTCCAGCAATAATTCTGCATATTTCGCCTTGATATCCTTTTTCCACTGACGAACAGTTCTAGGTGAAATACCACTGTCGATTTTAAACTCTTCTAGCTGTGAAATAAGCTCCGAAAGTTTGCTCATAATCTTGGATGTTTGTTTAACCGTTGTTTTTATTTCCTCGACGTCATTCGTTCGAATCAATTCGTCTGTCCCTTCCAAATAGTATTCTAGCTTCGCAATTTCCTTTTGTATCGAAGTTTCCGTACGCTCGGTGTCTTCTAAACCCTCTACTTGTTCGTTGCTTTCGTCTCCCATCATGTCCGTTATATTTTTCCACAATAGTATTAATGAATTCGAGATTTAATACGATAAACAAATATTGGCGCCAAAATATCACAAAATATATACGTACTTCGTTGTTGATTTCGCTCGTTTTTCTTCGTAAAAATCCTGGTCACGGCACCAAATGTACCGACCCGTAACTCGGCACACACTCACACTCACACACAAGTAAAAAATGATATAATAAATAAGAACAAAGTAAAATAAAATACAAAATTTCGACTGAACTCTCTCGTCTCAAACGTTTGTTGTTCGTATTCGCTCACATGTTCTCGTGTCCTTTTCCCCTCCCCCCGGTACTGTCAATCATCCTGCCCGCGAATAGGCGGGATACCTAAATTTGGGTCAATCTCATTTTTTTTAAAAAAGCGATTTTCACCTTTCAAACGACGTTTTCCCTATCTTTTGCTATGAAATTTCAGCGACGGCACTGGCTGGGAAATTTTGCGTGGCGCGTGGAATGTGTGACACAAAAATTGAGGTTATCCAGTGCGAGTTTCCTCTCTGTATATCTCTCCTCTGTGATGCAACCGAACATTCAACATGTGAACTCGCTCATTTAAGTCACTTGGAAGTACAATATAAAATATAACCATTTCCTCCCTTTCTAAAGAAGCAGAAAATAAGATAGTTAATACCTGGAGTTTTTTTCGAAGTGTCTATTCAGCCAGTAGCCAGCTATTTAGTAAACTGCTGGCTATTTAGTAAACTTCCAGCTATTTAGTAAACTGCTGGCTATATATAGTGTCTATAGTTACATATAAAAACTTTTGTTTGCGCTAGTTTTTAGTACCAGAGACGCCGGAAGATCGATAATTTGGGG